CACGAGTATGTACAACTCCTGCTGTAGCCTGTTAAATATGTATAGTTAACCAACATGTCCTCATATCTCCACAGCAGCTCTGGGTACAACTGACACTTGGGGCTTTGCACCGTAATTAAGACTAAATGCTGTGTGAACTTCCTGGATAACTCCAGAAATATATCCTCAGCCCTAAAAGACATGCACAAGCAAACTAATGCTATCTCTAATCTCACAAGGTCTTTAAATCATATGGCTTTAGATATTTTCACTGCAGCCGGGGGTGGCACTTAACATTCATTAAGGTTGACCATTTTACACACACACACACACCCCAGATTATTCTTACAATATAACCCAAGCTATGCATGTAGATACCCATATTTCTGCTATAGATGCCCTCTCTCAGGACTCTATGACATCATGATTTAGTCGGCTTCCTGGTGCAAACAATACTTTTATATATATAATTAATACTGTTAAATGCCCTCTTCAGCTGCTATGAGCTTTATTGCTGTTGTACACTCTACATGGAGAGGCAGGAAATCATTCTCAGAAATTCTTGGATCCTCACACCATACATGCACAGTAAGTTCCTGCTGGAAACTCAAGAATATTTCCAACTCCAAGTAAACAGATTCCATTCTAATGCTCTATAACTATGCCCCCTTTCAGTAGGAAGCAGACCAAATGAATATGACGCTCCAATCCCATACAAATAAAGGGGAATATTACAGTGGGTGCTGTAACCAAGTACTTCATTTTCCTTAAAAAATAGTTACTTTTTCTCTTTCTCCGTGTTCACGTCTTAACTTAGCTCCTTAGAAATGCAAATTCAAACCCGGGCGCAGTGGCTCAAGCCTGTAATCCCAGCACTTTGGGAGGCCGAGACTGGCGGATCACGAGGTCAGGAGATCGAGATCATCCTGGTGAACACAATGAAACCCCGTCTCTACTAAAAAAATACAAAAAACTAACCGGGCAAGGTGGCGGGCACTTGTAGTCCCAGCTACTCGGGAGGCTGAGGCAGAAGAATGGTGTAAACCCGGGAGGCGGGGCTTGCAGTGAGCTGAGATCCCGCCACCGCACTCCAGCCTGGGCGACAGAGCAAGACTCCATATCAAAAAGAAAAAAAAATTAAAAAAAGAAACGCAAATTCAAACTTTTCTCTCCTTCCTTTCCACCAGCCAAACAACCAGCAAGCACTGTCAGCTTAGCTAAGTATAGGTTTTCTTAGAAACTACCAAATCTTGAACCAAAATAAGCATCTGCCAGGATTCTCCTCCATAGAGAGATTGTCTCAAGACATCAGTTAATCCACAACCTGACTCTGTCCCCAGTGATGCTGGGCAGACTAACGAATGACCCATGACTGAAGATAAATCATCCAGCGAGTCATGTGGATCCTGCACCTCCACACCCCTTCTCCATGCCCTGCTTGCCAATATTTCTTCTTAAAACCCTGTTTTCTGCCCAGAAAACTCAGGCGGTTCCTATAGATATAAATCCAGCCCTTCCACACACATTGCTAAGCTCTGGAATAAAGTGATTTTCTTCTTTTTTTTGGAAACGGACCCTCGCTATGTCCCCCAGTAGCTGGGATTATAGGCGCGCGCCACTGTGCCTGGCTAATTTTTGTATTTTTAGTAGAGACAGGGTTTCGCTATGTTGGCCAGGCTGGTCTTGAACTCCTGACCTCAGGTGATCATCCCGCCTTGGCTTCCCAAAGTGCTGGGATTACAGATGTGAGCCACCACGCCTGGCCAGTGACTTTCTTTTTACTACCCTTCTGTTATTGTATTTTGCAAGTGGCCATGGCCAAACCAGAGTTCGGTAACAAAATGGTGCCAGGTTGAATACAATAGATGAGGGGCACTTTTATCCTTAAAGCAGGATCTGTTAATTCTGCTTACAGCTCTGAAGCCCACAGACCCTGGATGCTGCCACACCTAGCAGAGCAAATGCCCATCTATTATTACATATTTCCATACAATATCAGTGTTTTTGCTCTGTTGACTGCTCATGTCACACATCTTGAGCAAGTGTTCCCAACCCTCGCATGTTTTTTGACTAAGACAACAAAAATTAAAATCTAAAAAGAGCACAAGCATGAAAGCCTTTTGAGAATATTAAGGTAGATGAAAATGACAATAAATAAAAAATTGAAATTCCCTTTTTACAAGCCAATGGCACAAAAATATTTTCTGATTACAGCACTCAATGTACACATTTTCGAAGCGGTATTTTTTATATCTCTGAGAACTAAAACCAAATTTAATAATCCCTCATCAAAAATAAGAAAATAATTAATATCTAACAGAATAGGTGATCTGTACAAAGACATGTCATGTACACATTTATGGAAGTCAGATGGAAGGAATTATGGAGTCCAGCCATTGTCTAAATCTTTGTGTAAGGAGAAAGTAAGGCAACAACATGCAGTTCACACCTGCACAATTAAGAAGTGGTTGCTCCTTGTATTCAGACGCTAAGTGTTACTGTACTGCTACACAAATCAATACCTTGTTAACCTTTCACATGAACAGAAACTAAGCCATATAATGGAAAGTTTCACACATCTTTTTAAGCATGAGAATCTGAGTCAATTTTGCCTTGTGGCTTCCAGAACAGTTTCTGTCCTTCTCCTTTTCAACCAGAGATATTTCAGAGAAAATTTGCAGAAAAACAAAAAACAGAGAATGTGTAACATCAGTCTTTTCTAATAAAAGTGATATTCACATTAAATTTAGGAAAGAGAAATGTGAGAAAAGATTAAAATAATTAAAAGTGTTCATTGAAAAATAATTGTGAATCCATTTTTAAAACAGAGGAATAAACACCTTAAATATACAACACAAAAATTAAAATTTGGTTTTAGATGATGCTTATGAGAGTAAAAAAAGAAAAAATATATACTCAAGTGTTAAAAACATTTGCACAACAAATCATATCAAAATCAGGATAAATATTACAATGCAAGAAATAAAGTCTTAAGGTGTCATTGGTCAGCCTGCAAAATCAGTATTGAACAAACTCAGCCTTATTCAAAACTGAATTCCTCACCTCACCAACAGAAAGGGCAGGCAGCTGCTGCCCTTGCACATGGAGACCCCATACAGTGGCTCTGAGCTCAGAGGCTCCCATGTGGCTCTGACTTTGGTGGGCATGGTCTGGAGGAGAAGGAACCTGTCACAGAGTCGTCTACACCAGTGCAGGAGGTTACTATGGCTGCATCTCAAGGTTTTCAACACTACTGGCTGTTGTTGAAAGTATTTATACATAAAGTGGGGAGTGGTGTTGGGGGATTGTCTAAGATTCACAAGGATATTAAGGGAATCAAGAGTTTACAGCAACAATTTAAGTTCTAAACCAGCCAGGTGCGGTGGCTCATGCTTGTAATCCCAGCACCACAGGAGGCTGAGGTGGGCGGATTGCTTGAACTCGGGAGCTCGAGATCAGCCTGGGCAACAAGACGAAACCCCATCTCTACAAAAAATACAAAAAAAAAATTTAACTGGGAAGAGTTGTGCACCTGTTGTCCTAGCTATTTGGGAAAGTGAGGTGGGAGGACTGCTTGAGCCCAGAAGTCGAGGCTCCAGTGAGCCAAGACCTTGCCACTGCACTCCAGCCCAGGTGTAAGAGCGAGATCCTGTCTCAAAAAAAATTAACATTTTTTTTTTAAAGTTCTAAACCTACAGCATTATTGAAGGTACAGCTGAAAGTACTGGTGTAGGTGCAAGGCATGCAGGTTGTTACATTTTCTACTTCATTATGGAGAAGCTCCGTGGTTAAAAGAAGAGGCTCTGGGCCAGGCACAGTGGCTTACACCTGCAATCTTAGCACCCTGGGAGACAAAGCAGGGAGGATTGCTTGTGGCTAAGAGTTCTACACTAGCATGGGAAACATAGGAAGACCTGGTCTCTACCAAAACAAACAAACAAACAAACAAAAACCTAATTAACCAGGCATGGTGGCTTGTGCCTGTAGTCCTAGCTATTCAGGAGGCTGAGAGGGGAGGATCATTTGATCCCAGTAGTTCAAACACAGAGTCTCCTCTACGACTGAGTCACTGTACCCTAGCTGGACAACAGGACAAAATCCTCTCTCTCTTAAAAAAGAAAAAATACAAAACAATCTTTGGAGAGAAAAGTATTGTCCTAAATAGACTCTCTTAATCATAAGACAGTGTAGGCTGAGTGTGGTGACTCACACTTGTAATCCCAGCACTTTGGGAGGCCGAGGTGGGCAGATCACCTGAGGTCAGGAGTTCAAGACCAGCCTAGCCAATATGGTGAAACTCCATCTCTACTAAAAATACAAAAGAATTAGCCAGGTGTGGTGCCGCATACCTATAATCCCAGTTACTCGAGAGGCTGAGGCACAAGAATCGCTTGAACCCAGGAGGTGGAGGTTGCAGTGATCCATGATTGCGCCATAGTACTCCAGCCTGGGCGACAGAGTGAGACACTGTATCAAAAAAAAAAAAATAGATAATAATAAGACTGTGAAATTTGCACAAAGATAGAAAAAACAACCAGTAACTTAAAAAATAAAAACAGAGCTAGAAAGCAGGCATACACATATATAAAAATTAATTTATACATTGATGCATGGGGGAGAGATTAGTTTTTAATAAAATGTTCCAGGAAATTGAATATCCACAGGGAACAACCAAGATACAACCTTTGACCTCACATACACACAAAATCAATTCTAGTTAGTTCATAGGCTTAAATACAAAAATAATAGAGTATTCAGAACACAATTTAGGAAAATATTTTCATGACACAGGATAGCATGAGCTGTCTAACTAGACCTGAAAATTATTTAGCAAGTAAGACAAGACACATTCTACACAGTCGAAGTCAGCAAAGACTGGGGCAGACAGTATCAAACTAAAGGTTCCTTTATACCTTTCCCGCAGAAAGTCAGCTCAGACTCCAAAACGGAGCACAGGAGTGAAAATCGTGCTCACTTCTTCAGATGTCAGTGTGCACTGTAGGAAATGATAACATACAAAGCATGCAGTATATTATCAAGCCTACATTAACCCCTAAAAAGTAATTTTCTAATAAATTGTGAGATACATCATTTCTGTCAATTGTAACATGTCATACACCAGAATGGAAGAACAAAACCACTAACAAATGAAGAAACTAATACTTTTATCACTTATAAATAAATCACATAATAATAATATAAATACATTACAATTACTGGTAAAACTGTTTTCAATGTGCATACATGTGGATATTTGTCTTGTGTCATTCCTATGATTACATGGGATGGAACATACAAGAAAAACACATTGACAAAGGTTTTCCTAAATTTTCTCTCATTCAGATGTAACTCTCCTGAATCACTCTTCAATTCATCTTGCCCATAATTTTCCCCATATTATTATCACCTGTGCTAATCTGAAGCTTTTGTGACGCTGCACTTCTTGTGAGATTCCTATGTTGCTCCTGTGAGCTTATCTTTCCAACCTTCTGAAACCTCCTATGCAAGATATGATGTTAATGATATGACCTGAAAATGTCAATGGAAGGTTTATAGACCAAACTCATGTATATGTAAATGAGGACAATAACATTATGGTTGCCTTCTCGTCAATAGTGTTTTAACACTGTCAAATTTAAGGTGCACCTGCGTTTCATAAATATGAAAATGTGCCCTCTACGATGAGTGGAATACACTGTCCTCTGTGACTGCCAATTTCTCAGTGTTAGATTATGGGGGCTCATCAAACTGTATTCTTATCTGTTATTGAAGGAATATGCTTAAATATTATCACATGAGTTCACCAAGTGCATTTACATTCTACGTAGCTATTAGACACATTAGAGTTACTAGTGGAACACTAGAATTCTTATGTTATGCATGGAAATGTAGTTTTATGAACTATGGTTTAAGAAATCTACTGAGGAAGAAGATAGCAATTATAAAGAGTTACTTGAAAAATTCACTGGAGTGATACCTTTCTAAAGACCTAGAAAAAGCTGTATCTTGAAACTTTCCACTGCAGTCTTAGGAATATGACCAATGATCCTTGTAAGCTTTATTATAAACTCCATTTTTTCAGCTATAATATTTATGTAACTCTTTTTTCTTCATTCCCATTTGCCGTTTTAACCATATGGCTGGAGATCATAGAAATCACTTTATAATTAGTCACTGCAGACGTTGATGCATAATGGTCTTTATAAAATGTTTTAATCTGTCCCCTTGCTACTCTGGTCAATCCTAATTTGGGTACTTGGGTTTAGGTACTGGTTTTGGTGTTCCCTCAGGAATACACTGACAGAAGAAGAAACACATAAAGTATGAATTTCCGTATACCCAAAATTCAGTCAACCTCCTAAACGATGGGAGTTTCTTTATGTGTATGCAGAAACTCACATACAAAAACAAAAAGTCATATAATTTAGGAGATTGACTGAATTTTCCCCTACAGTTTTAAATTCCAGCAAGGCTAAATTAAATACACATAAAGTCATGTTCTCAAATATCCAAGACATTCTTCCACTGAACTCCAACTTCTAATCAGGTTAGAGTGTGGAGTCCAAGTGTTGGGTATTTGCCTCAAGATCTGGTCTAGAATTTGGTTTCTTTTAAATGGCATCTCTTTTAGAATTGTGGTGTCCAGGCCAGCCTCTAAGGAACTGTTGGTTTAAGGTATTGTGGGAAATCACATCTTCCATGCAGTTAGAGTGTGTCTGGGGACTCGCTGCTCAGCACTTTGTCATCTGCTTTCTCCACTCACTAGCATCCAACTGCAAAAAATCTGTTGTGTAAAAGATTCATATCCAGGTCTCTGTAAGTAGGGTCTGGCCTAAACCCATTTGTTAGAAACCTTTGTTGTACTCTGCTTACCTGCTACCTTGGTGGCTTTCGGGTTGGCAGTGGGCAACAGAATGCATGGTCCCAAACAATTCCTGATGGAGTCTGTAGAATGAAAAGAACTAAATTAGGACATATTTTTCTGAAAGGTTTGAAGGTACAGTTGTCTTTTGATTACTTGAAGAAGAAATCCCTGTACCAAGAAAACACTATCCTGAATGCAGAAATATGATTTATGTTCCCTGTCACTGAAATTTCTAATTCTTGGCTTCTAATATCTGAGTCATAGCTCCCAAAAATGCTTCAATGGGATCCTGAATATACACTGCTCAATGATGTCTGCACATGGGGCTTTCTGGATATGTGAAGGAAACGCAGCTTTTTCTGAATAAGTGGTTGCTGACACTCCAACTGGTGACTGGGTAACAGAGAAGGAGAAAAAGGATGACAGTCTCTAAAGCTTGATGGTGCCTTCCCGAAGCAGGTGTAACTGGGTTTGGAAAGGCGACTAGATAAAAAATGCTCATTTTCTATTCTTTCCCTATGTACCCACTCATCTCTGGAAGCCACAGATTTTTGCTTATGTCTTTGTTTTCTTTTTAAACATATAATAATTTTAGAAAGCAAATTTATTTTGAAATAATTGCAGATTTACAAAACGATACACAGGTAGAACAGTTTCATATACCCTTCAGCTAACTAAAATGTTACTATTACAACTATAGTATATTCATGAAAACTAAGAATTTCACTATGTTTCAAAACTATTAACTGATCTACAGGCGTCCTTCATATTTTACCAGAATTTCTAATAATGATATATTTATCTGTTCTAAGACCTAATCTAGAATACCACATTGCAATTACAGTCAGGTATATTACTTAAGACTTGGTGCATAACAGACTACTATACATCTTAGTGGTTCAAAACCACACACATATTACTCACAGTTTCTCTGGGTCTTCAGTCCAGATGTAGGTGATGGCCCAGGCTAAGGCTCAGCTGGGGAAGGGTCTCCTTCCAAGCTCATGTAACTATTCTTAGGATTAACCTCTCTGACCTCATCAAGAAGAATTCATCAGTGAATTATTGTAATCATTTAAACAACTAATACTAATTTATTACAAATTATTCCAAAAAAGTGGAGAAAACATGATTTCCCATTGTATACTGAGTTAGTTTACCCTGATACTGCAGCCAGACAAAGACATTTCAAATAGGGAAAATGAAGAACAATATACCTTATGAATACAGGGGCAAAAATAATCAAGGAAATTTTAGTAAAACAAACCAGAAACATGTAAAAAGTATTGTATACTATATCAAGGGTATTTACCTCAGGAAAGCAAAATTTGGTTCAACATACAACTAGTGCTATGCACTGTATTCATATACTAAAGAAGAAAAACCACATAATCATCTCAGAAGATGCATAGGCACTTGAGAATTCTCCAACTCCTTATGAGAAAAATATGCAGCAAATGAGGCAGTTAAGGGAACTGTCTCCCTTTTAAAGGGGATCTATGAAAAACTACTGTATCATCATAAGTTATCTGAAACGTTCACTAATTTCTCCAAGATTAGAAACAACACACGGATTTCCACTCTTGACACTTGTTTTCAACATTGTACTAGAGGATACAGACATGGCAGTTAGTCTAGAAAAATAAATATGAGGCTTCCAGTATGGAAAGGAAGTCAAACTCTGTCTGTTGGCATATGACGTGATTTTATGTATAAAACTTCTAAAGGACTCTATTCAAATATGTTTAGAATTTAGAAATGAGTTCAACAAACTTGCAGTATACAAGGTGAATACATAAAATCCTCTGAATTTCTATATGCTAGCAATTAATAATCTAAAACAAAAATCTCAGAATGTTCCATTTGAGATGACATCAAAAATAAGTTTATCAAATTAAGTATAAGATATATACACAAAAACTATAGAAAACATTTTGAAAAACAACGGAAAAAAACTTTGACTATTCATTACTTATAAATGTTAATTTTGTTAGGCTGACAATATTTTCCAAATGGATCTATAGATTTAATGCAACCTCTATCAAAATCCCAGGTGACACTTCCTTCCTCTAAATTCACAAAGCTTATCTAAAGTTCATATATAATGCAATAGACCCAGAGTAGCCTAAATTATTTTGAGAAAGAAGAAAAAAGGTTGGCGTGGGAGATACATACTTCCTGACTTCAAAACTCACTGCAAAGTAATAGCAATCAAGATTTATGGTGCTAGTATAAGAATATAGATGTTGATCAATGTAATAGAATATAATGCTCAAAAATGAATACATACATTTATAGTGAAATAATTTTATAATGTCACCAAATAAATTATACATGGATAAATATTTTTAATAAAATATTTCTAAGCAAGTGCATATTCCATGCAAGTCGAACTCCTGCCTCACACTGAAAATGTAAGTGGCTCAAAAGGATCATATATCTATATATAATAGCTAAACAGGCCCAAAATGTAGAAAATAACACAGGAATACATCTTCGTGGTCTTAGGTTAAACAATCTTTTCTAAGATATGATGCCGAAAGCAAAAGGGAAGAAGAAAAATCAGCCATATTAAACCTTATTAGAATGTGAAACTTTTGTGATTCACACTGCACCAACAAAAATAAAGACACCCAAAGAATGGGAGCAAATATTTGCAAACAAAAGCAAACATTGGCAAATGAAACCTAATTAAACTTAAGGGCTTCTGCACAGCAAAAGAAAACTATCTACAGAATGAACAGACAAACTATCTACAGAATGAACAGACAACCTACAGAATGGGAGAAAAGTTTTGCAACCTATGCATATGACCAAAGTCTAATATGCAGCATCTATAAGGAACTTAAACAAATGTTCAAGAAAAAAAAACCAACTCCATAAAAAAAGAGGGCAAAGGACACGAACAGACACTTTCAACAGAAGATATATATGTGGCTAACAATCATATGAAGAAAAGCTCAACCTCACCGATCCTGAAAGAAATGCAATTAAAAATCACAATGTGATACCATCTAACACCAGTCAGAATGGCTATTATTAAATAGTCAAGAAATAGATACTGGCAAGGTTGTGGAACAAAGGCATTACTTACACACCGTTGGTGGATGTCTAAATTAGTTCAACCACTGTGGAAGGCAGTGTGGAGACTACAAGAAGACCTAAAAACAGAAATATCATTTAACCCAGCAATCCCATTACTGAGCATATACCCAAAGAAATAAAAAGTGTCCTGTGAAGAAGACATGCATGCATAGGTTCCTTGCAGCACTATTCACAATAGCAAGAATGTGGAATCAACCTAAATGCCCATCAATGGTGGACAGCATAAAGAAAATGTGGAACATACACACCACGGAATACTATGCAGCCATAAAAAATATCATGTCTTTTACACGAAAACGGATGGAGCTGGAGGCTATTATCCTTACCAAACTAATGCAGGAACAGAAAACCAAATACCAAGTTTTTTCCCTTATAAGTGGGAGGTAAATGACAAGAACACATAAACACACAGTGGGGAACACCACACACTGAGGTTTATCAGAGGGTGGGAGGCGACAGAGGATCAGAAAAGATAACTAATGGGTACTAGGCTTTAGTACATTGGTGATGAAATAATCTACAACAAACCACCATGACACAAGTTTACCTATGTAACAAATGTGCACATATACCCTGAAACTTAAAAGTTAAATTAAAAAGCAAGTATTTGCAAGTTTTATAGGTGATAATGGTCTATTGTCAATAATATACGGCAACTTCTTAAGAGCTCAAAAATAAAAGGGCATATATCTCCATCAAAAATGGAAATTATTCAAATACCCAATTCTCCATAAAAGCTACAGTCACATCCGAATCACACGAAGAGACACTCAATGCCTTCTGCCATTATGAGGTAGGAGACTGGCAAGTTGTTTTCTAGTCACAATCCTGCTGATCAAGATGAGATCTGGTCCAGACAGCATCTAGCGAAGAAACCGGCAAAAGAAGACAAAGGGATCCCTGGTTGTCCTCACTGCTCACCGGCATGAGACATTCCCTCCAGCGCATGACTGTTTACAAATTCCATGCCAACAACCAGGAATTTACCACCTCTTTCCATGGCAACAACTCAGAAGTTACTGCTCCTGTCCTGGAAAGTTCTGAATCACCTGCCCATTAAGTTTCATTGGTCCACCCCTCAACTTCCATGTAATTGAAAGTAGTTTTACCTTAAAGATAGTTGATAAGAACCCATAGGTTACCAACTGATGCAACGCCTATGAATTAGCCCTGCTCTTAAAGGAGCAGTACTGTTCAATAAAAGACTGCCATCTATCACCACTGGCTTGCCTGTAAATACTTTCCTGGGCAAAGCCAAGAACCCTGCCAGTTGAAACCCCAAATTTGGGGCTCACCTGTCCTGCAACAATAGGGGATGCGAAGTCTAAAAAACATGATATATACTTCAAAAATCTAAAAGGTATATTGCTATGTGAAAAAATACAAGTTGGAAAAGGCAAAATACTGTGTAATTCTACCTATATGACTCTCTAGAAAAGGAAAAAAGTATAGTGATAGCAAAGAGTCTGGTGGTAACAGGGGGCTTGGGAGAGAGAAATGTGGAATCAGTGAAATACAAGAGGTTTCTTTGGGGTAGTAAAATCACTCTCTCTGATACTGTATTGGTGGATACATATTAATGTTTTCTGAATCATGAAGAACTTTATAACACAAAGAGTGTACTAAATTATGCAAACATAAAACCTTATTTAGTAGGTAGAGGGTTTCCAAGGAAGAATGTCCCCCAAAATAATATAACTATGTAATGAATGTATGGAACAACCTCACTAAAGAAAGTGGGGGAAAGCAATGGACCTAAGTAACTTGGGTAATAAGTGGACATGCCGAGGCTAAAGCCAACGTATTTATACCTAAGTGCTGTACTTTACTTGGTAAAATTGTTTCCCATTGGGGTATAAGTTACCTGTTCTAAAACCACTTTGCATGTATGTTCAGGCAGTATGATTAAGAGAACAACATCAACTTCTTCACAGGGAGAGTAAGAGACTACATATATCATTCATGTGGTGCTGGATCAGATTATATGTTATTGGAAACATTAGCAGAAATTACACAATTATATAGTTAGCCTGGAGCACCTAGTAGTGGTTAAAGAAAAGAAAATGCTGAACAACAACAAAACCAACCAACCATACAACACTGAACCTTAATTATGTGGGTATTTCAAAATTATACCAGGGACAACTAAAAAACCTTCCAATAGCCAACCATGCAACAATTTGAGCAATCAAATAAATTAGCATATGTAAAGTATAAAATAAAAATCCATGTTTACATGATGATATAAATAATTTATGTATAAATGAATAAATATGTAATAGAATAGACACATGTTTATGGTTGAGGGTTCAAATAAATTTGTAGACATTCTGCCAATAAGAAGGTAGATCATACATCGCCACATTTTTTTTAGTTTGAGATAGAGTGTGGAGTCTCGCTCTGTTGCACAGGCTGGAGTGCAGTGGCATGATCTCAGCTCACCTCAACCTCTGCCTTCCAGGTTCAAGTGATTCTCCTGCCTCAGCCTCCCGAGTAGCTGGGAGTACAGGCACGTGCACTGTGCCTAGCTAATTTTTGTATTTTTAGAGGTTTCGCCATGTTGGCCAGGCTGGTCTCGAACTCCTGACCTCAGGTGATCCACCTGCCTTAGCCTCTCACAGTGTTGGGATTACAGGCATGAGCCATCGTGCTTGGCCCATGACTCCCCACTTCTTAAATGTGTGTTGTGTTAGTGACTTTGTTCTGAAACATTCCATGGGGAAAAGGAAAAATAATAATAATTTCACACTGTGTGATAATTTCATAAAAATGACTTCATCTAGGTGATCAAATTAACATTAGTAATGATAAAGCCCGTTGAGAGCCTGTGTCCTTGGTATGATGTGAGGAGAATGGCACCTTTCCTCTGTCATCTTCCTCTCCCAAACCCACAAATCTAGTCTTATCATGAAAAAAACCTCAGAGAAATCCCACATTAGGAATGTCAATGTAATCAAAAACTAGAAAATTCTAAGAAACTGTGACAGTCAGAGAAGTCTAAGGAGACATGATACCCAACCGTGCTGAGGTATCCTGGGTGAGATCCTGGAACAGAAATTAAACATTAAGTGAAACATAAGAAAATCTGAATCAAGTATAAAGAGTAGTTAATGATAATGTTTAAAATTGGTTAATTGTGACAAATGTCCTACATTAAGAAGTTAATAAAAAGAGCAACTGTAGTGGGATATGTGGAAAATCTATGTACTACATTTAAAACAATTCTGTAAACCCCAAACAATTCTTAAATGTATAAGGCTTCTTTTTATTTAAAGTCACTGCTGACCTTATAAAATAGAACATGAGCAATGTGTTCATGGCCGTTAATGGATCTCCTTAGCTTAATCATGTTCCTTAATCACTGAAGGTCGCTATGACTGTGAAATTATTTGCTATCCTCTAATTGGTGTTATATTTATCTCTGTTTATATTTCTAATATCCATAATGTTTAGTTCTTCTTGTCTTCAAACTTAGATGACAGGTGTTTAATGTATACATGTCCCTAATTTAATCATGACAAATCATGAGACAAATCCATATTGTGGGACATCTTACAAAATACAAAATATCTGACCTGTACATTTCAAAAGGGTCAAGGTCGAGAAAAATAAGTGGAGACTATGAAACTTGCAGATTGGAGAACACCTAATGTGTCAGTTAGACCCTACAACGGTGCCCAGTGATCCCCACCTGCAAGAAATACCTTTGCTTTGTTGAGTTGCTTCCTCGTGTCTCAGGTGACCAGCACATATGAACTCAACTTTTTTCCAACCCAGAGCTCTCCTAGACAGTGGCTGCCTTGGTGGGAATGGAGTGGACACAGGTCCAACAAGTGCCACAAGGGTGTCTGACAGTGTAAACAAATATCATGTGAGAAGGATGCTGCGTCAAAGACTTATGCTTCGGGGTATCCAACAGGATAAATAAGTATCCCATTGAGAGGCACACTGTAAACATCCAGGACCCAGTTTCCAGCAGAGTGCTGCTCTCTGAAGACAGAAAATTCTGTTACCTTGAGACTTTTTGGCTTAATTTTAGAAATATAAGCAGAGATTATTCTAAGTTGCTTTCCAAATCTGATTCTTCATCCAGATCAACGGCATATTTATCTCTTTCTCCCTCCCCTTTTATCCTTCGTATCCCATGAATGAGGATCATATGAATCTCACTGTAAGCAGGGAATGGAGATGCATGTGCATTGCAGTTTTCATGGAATGCTTTGCTCTGACCACTTGTTACTTCTCAGCTCCACTTGTTGATACTTAGAAAATGAAACAGGCTTTGGTGTTCCCCAAAGAGTGCACTGAATGAACAAGAAACTCACATAGTGTATAATTTAGAATATGTTGAGCATATTTGCACTGAGAGTTTCAGCTTCTACTAGGGCTGAATTGAGTGAACAGGAAGCCCTAATCTCCAGTAGAGGAATCATACACCCTTTATTCAGACTAGAGGGCGGAGACAGCGTTCGGTTCTTGCCTAAGGACATGGTCAGATGATGGGGTGTTTTCAGTGGCATCTTTCTGAGAATTCTGGTGGCCAATCCAGACTCAATACAAATCATATTTTCCACGCTATCATAGTAATGTTTGCAAGCTTAGTGCTCAGCACTGTGTCCTCTGTGCCCAGGACATCATGGTAGCAGAGTTTCATGTCTATCACTTTTCCAGTCTTAACCCTGAGTACTCAGAGCTCATCGACCATCTTGCCACCTAGAGATGAGTCTGTCCTTCTACAATCTACCTCTCTCTCCTTCCTGGCCTGCCACTTGGTGATTTTTTTTTTCCCTCAAGAATTTATCCATGGATGATCTTCACAGTACACATCATAATAGACCAGATGTGTGCATTGAAATGAAGAGGAAAATGGGATTGTACAAGTCACTTACTTTATAGAAACTCCTGTTATAATGAAATAAAAAGAGCAAACCTCCATGACTTAAGATCGCCAATTTAAATGAAACGGTTCTTTCCTATGGGGTGAACTGTAAGATTAGAGGCGTATGAAGGTTTACTGAATTATAATGCCCCAAATAATAGCACCTGAATTACTGCTACAAACTTCTC